TACAGTAAAATTGTCTGCAACTAATTGAAATTATAACTGTCTAAATTTATATTTCATGCCCGCCTCTGATTAGCTATTGCTATTTGCGGGTCATGTTATTTCTATCTTATGTATTTTATTTTATTGAATAAAATTGTATTGTATTGTATGCCCGACAAACGCCCGGGGAGAACAAGGGGGAATTTCGTTCTCGACCAATCAGCGCTTTTGTTTACATTTTTGCCCTAAGCCAATCAGAATGCGTAAAACGCTTCAATCACGGGTGTTTGTATTCCGAGTAATGAGTAATGAATTTTCGTTCTTGCTTTGGAAAGATAAACCATGAAAACATTGACAGTGATTTCACTCACTTCTTGCCGTGAATAATTATAATGCTGTGATAGTGTCAGCAGTTTAAACTGGTATGAAAAAATATGGCCTGCATATAATTTCGCTTATAGCATACTCGTTTTTAGCATGTCACATATTAACCAGTTTAGACTGTTTAGCCTTCAAAACGTTTGTCTCTAAGTTGAATAACATGTTCGCAATAGTAGAATACAAGTAAACACTAATATAGCGGTCGACAAAAATCCAGAGTGAGCAGAAATTTCGTGTTTTTTCTTCGATTTAAAGAGTAATATCTTGGTTTTATAAACTGAAAACTTGGTTTTCGACAACGTTTGGACGTCAATTGCGGATTTTATACTGGCTGCATGACCGCAGAATCGCAGATAGCAAAACAAATATGTCGGCCGAAAATTTATCATAAAACAACCTTTATACCACAGCACTTGTATTCTACAGTATACTATTGCGAACATGTAATTTTTCAACTTGGGGACGATCGTTTTGAAGGCTGAACTGGTTAATATATATGTGACATGCTAAAAACGAGTATGCCATAAGCGAAATTATGGCCATATTTGATCATACCATGACATCGTCACAGCATTATAATTATTCACGGCAAGGAGTGTGTAGAATCACTGTCAATATTTTCATGGTTTATTTTTCCAAAGCCGAAGTACGAAAATTCATTACTCATCACTCATTACTCGGAATACAAACACCCTTTCGTTCAATGTTAATGACAGCAATATAATTCAAGCGTTTTTCGTCCATTGTCGAGCGGAGGTAGGTTTTCACGCGCCGAAATCCACTGAATGACCTTTCAGCGGTACATGATGTAGCAGGCATCGATGCAAGAATGTTTGCTGCCTTGTATAATACAGGTAATAAGTCGCATAGTCGACTCTTCTCGACTTCAAAAAGACTCCAATCGACATTGTAAAACTCTGCCACAACATCAAAGCTGTTTTCTAAAAGTGAGTCGTTTAGCACAACGTCTCCCAAAGCACTTTCCATTTCATTGGACATGATCTGTGCTCTTTCCCACAAGAGTTCAAAATTTTTTTTGTTGCGACATTTACGGAGCGTGTTGATCGTGAGATCAACATTTATTTCATGCAGTGATAACGTCGACGCCTTTCCCTTGTAGATAGTTACTTAGACTGCTTGTTTTTGATAAAATCACCACCTTCAGAAGAATCAAGCCGAATACGAATTCAAAATCACAAATGGCACTCAAAATGGCGACGCTGTCAATGTACGACTTAATAGTATCCTTATCCTTATCCTTATCCTTTGCTAAAATGAGAAGAGCTTTGAGCTTTGATAACTTTCGGCACTTCCTCGGTGATTGCTTTTACTGCTTCCCATGTCTGAAGGACCATTTCGTTTCACTCAAAGATTTTAGTGTGAGAACAAGGTGATCACCATCTATCTTAACAGAATTAAACACGTGCACGGCATGGCGTTTTGGACTTACCCAAGAAATTATACACATTTGTAATGTCCCTAGTGCATTTCGGAGCGGTTGCACATCACTCATAGTGTCTTGCAGTGCCAAGTTAAGGATATGCGATATTGCTATTATTTAACTATCAAGTTACATAATCCTTTTTTGCCCGAATCTGAGTGAATCCCTTGCCCGAATGGCTTGAATGCAAATAGATTATGGTGCGCAACCACAAGCAATTACGATAGAGATCGGAAATGGGAAACTGTATAATCCCTCGGGGTAAGCGAAGTAAGCGAGATGATAACGTCGCAAGCTTACGATAAGACAAATGGTTTTACCTTCACGTTCCAATGTAGAACCAGACGGATGGCGTTCATGATAAAACCGACTTCGGAATGGTTATAGTATTCGAAAAACATTCAACGCCATTCTTCACTAACATTAAGTGAATTGAAAAAAAATTAAACATATTTTGATTGTCAGGTTTTCTCTGGAGAATGTGCAGAAAGCTAAAAGCAGAAACTAAGAAGATCGAAACGTAAAGACAGAGACGTCAATTTGATTGCCGTGAAAATCGTTATATATTACCATTAAGAATGATAGAATTTACAATAAAATCTATTCAACCCCTTTCTGCATATTTAGCTATTAAATTAAATTATAATATAGTATAGTATAAAGAAAGTCTCTTGGTCGAAGGAAGATTCTTTTGATCGATTTACTCTTTTAACACAGTCTTAAATACAATAGAAAATAAGGGACCTACAGTAGGTTAAAACTTTAAAGACGTGGAACAAATAACAATTGGCGATATAGATTAATTTTCGGTGTTACCACAAGTTAGTAATCAATATTACACATATTAAACAATATGGCGTATTCCTAAAGCCATATTAAACACTATGGCATACTAAAGAGGCTGTATAACAGCGAAATTAATCTAGATGGCCAATACTAATGGTATATAGTATGTATATTCCCTTATTTTCTATCGAATGCAGTTAAGACTGTATTGAAAGAATGAACTGAAGAGACGAGATGTTGATCAAAACCACAAAATGTAATATAAGGAATTCTAGAAGTTTGTAGCTACTAGTTTTCCATGCAGGCCGCGCAGAAGCAGAAGTGCAGAACAATTTTTTATCCAGCGTTAAACTTACGTTTTATTGGACATCAATGGCCTTTTTTGTTTAGCTTTCGGACGTGAAAAAAAAGTGTTACTGAGAGTTCAGAAATTAAATTTAAAATTTCATTAAAATTGTACCCGTTTTAACGCCATTAATTTTACCCAAACAATCTAGCCATATATAAAGTGATCTTAAAATTAATATGCTTTCTAAATCTCTTTCTTTCAAAGGATCAAATGATAGTCCTAACCTTAAGAATTACGACGAGCAATCAACTGGAGGAATGTTTGTTCCTTATCTTAAGAATTATGACGAGCAAGCAACTGGAGGTACGTACGTGTGACTAAATAATTTATTACAGTTGTCATGAATGGTAAACATTTTTGAAAATTTGCACTTGACGAAAATCCAACTTACTTTTTGAAGTTTTTTATTAATCTTTCATTCTAATCAAAAGTTCTGATGGAAAAGCTTGTAGTAATCCGGGTAATCGAATTTGCCTCAACTTGCATGTCATTTAGTTTGAGTTCTATCACTCAACAACTGTGTTAGATGAGGTAGCTATAGGGGTTCAAGCCCTTTGTGATTCTCGGGAACTATATTCCAGAACTTGTACAATCTTGGCAAGCAAAACAACCAATAATGCACCACAGCTTCAATCAGGGGCGGATCTAGGATTTTTGGTACGTTAGTCAAAAATTTCGCTGCTGAACATCGAGCGAGGGGATTCTTTTACCGGTGGGGGTCGCAAAGCGAATTGATTTGTATCCTGTTTTACGAAAAAATGTTACGTGAAAAATTACTGTTTCGCCCAATGTCAGGGCTCGTCAGCATGCCTAGGAAACACATAACTCCATATTTTGTCCTTAATTTACATGAATGGTCAAAAGATTTTCAAAATTATATAGCGATGCGGTTTTGAAAAGCATTTGATTGATTGTTTATTCGCAGGAAGAAAATTTCCGCGTTTAATTCACTGCTTTCCGAGTTTTAATATTCATAGCAGAAACAAATGCCATGAATATTCACAATGGCAACATGATCCATTCTACTTAATTACTTGTTGTGTACATAATGTAGAGATCGTATTACACAAAGCCATGCCACATTGTCATGTGCTTGTAGTTTTAATATACTAGACAACTAGGTATAAATAATACAGTATTATTGAGTATCTGATCAATATATAAAGCCTACGTTCCACAAGAGGCATAGACAAAGTATAAACAAACTGAAACTGCTTGTATTAAGCCGCAGTATTAAGCCGCAGTATTATGTAAATTGACCGAAATATTATGTAAATTTCGTCTCTTATTACGTACAGACGCGCAATCCACTACAGCCTACAACAGCTATAATGCTATACTTCAAAATAAGGTTTCCGTTTTTATATCAATTTTTTAAATAAGTTAGGGTTAGGTTAGGGTTATGGTTAGGTTAGGGTTGGGGTTAGGGTTAAGTTTAGTATTATCGTTAGGGTTTATTTTTGCGTTAGGATGGTTTTTTCTACGTTATAAAAACGGAAATCTTATTTTGAAGTATACTATCTAGCGATTACCATAATATGCTATATCTAGTTAAAATAGAATATATTTACCTTAAGGCCGTACAAAACTTTTTTGTTTTCTCTCGAACGTACATCGGGATGTAAGATTCCGCAGCAAAATTTCGCGGTGCGAGGAAGAAGCTTGTTATGTTCACAGCGCTCAATAAGTCTTCAATAGAACGTTTCGGTTACATGTCTTTAAGATATTGTTAATTAAAATATTGTCGATCGTCTTTCTCTAAAGCAGCCTTTGCGGTTTCGTGGTTAGAACTTCTGATAAATTTTCCGATTGCCATAAAACGCACATGCTATAAAATCGGCGGGTACGCCGTACGCAGTATAATAATAAGAGACAAAATTTACATAATATTTCAGTCAATTTACATAAATACATAGACCTTTCCGTGCATACTATTAGCCTGAACGGTATGATCGATCAAAAATATCCAGCCAACGGGAATTCAGGATTTTTTTGAATTAGCCAATCGCATAGCTTGTATTCGAGCCCCTGATCGCTTTAGCGATCAGAACTCCCCACAGATCGCGCAAAAATTGAGATAGCGAATCAGATGGCTGGAATCTGACTCAGAGCGTGCAAAACTCATGCGTAAGATCGCTTTTCTGCGCGTTCATGTTCGAAGGCGTTGCTACTGCATGGATGATATCTTAGAACTGGACTGTTAAACTTTAGATAAATGCACTGCGCGAAATTTGATAACTGGACTGCTATTTTAATTTAACAATTTTCTGGCTAATTTTTACCTTAGTCGCGTGATCGCTCTGATCACCCCTAGATCCACCCCTGGCTTCAATCATTAATAATTTTCTTTCTCTTAATTTACAGGACTATTCACAGCTGATCAAAAACTGAAGGGTAAGACAAGTATTTATACTCGCCAAAATCCAAATGGTGGTCGTAGTGGTTATGAATGTAACGAGGAACGAGATTACTATCCTTACTGGCATCCTACTGACTGGATTGATATAGCGGTGTTTGCTTATAATGAAAGCATGTGTCAATATTATCGGAAAGAAAGTTTCAATGTCAAAAATAAAGGTTAGCCTAGTAAAACTGTTATTAACTGACGCTTATAATGAAAGCATGCGTCAATATTACCGGAGGGAAAGTTTTAATGTCAAACCTAAAGGAAGGTTCTTATGAACACGACTATTACTGGCATCCAATAGATATAGCTTCGGCGAGGGATGAACCATGCGGAATTCTTTTTTAATATCAATGCCCAGCAAAATGTACGCAAAAGAGCCGTCACCAAATGAAATATTAGAAAGAAAAAAATTATAAACTATCCTTTCATTTGTTAGGCTACATACATGTAAGATGCCATTCAATGTTAACGAAGTATATGTGTTATAAAATTACAATAATGCAATATGAATAAGTTGTAACTAATGGACCTATTTCCTAATGCGGAACAAAATTTTGATCTAGACAAGTCTAGGCAAGAATTTCATCACAAAATTAGTAATATTCCGAAGTTTCGTTGCGAAATGTTGTAAAATGCGGATAATATAGCCCTGCGAAGTTTGCCGTTTTTCAGTCATTTTGTATTACACGCGGGAAACTGCTACCTTTTATCAGAAAGCGGTATCTATTTCCCGTGCGTAATACAAAATGACTGAAAAACGGCAAACTTCGCAGGGTTGTGTTATCCGCATTTTACAACATTTCGCAACGAAGCTTCGGAATATTAATAATTTTGTGATGCTCTTTCAAGCTGTGATGAAATAGTTCAAAATTTTGTTCATTAGGGAATAGGTCGATTACAATGTATTGAATTACAAGTTTAATTGTGTAATCAGGATTACACAGGGTGGAAGTGGGAGCGGAAGGGCTACACATGGTGTAAGAGGACTAGCGTAGAACAAGAGGGAACTGACCTTATCTGTTCATGGAAAGTTTCGGAGATCATATAAGTTTGTCGGAAAAAGGGCATAATGAAAAAATTGTAAGTTATTAAGAGAAGCAGTATGCATGGTCGCATAGTTTTGAGGAATGCTGGTCAATTTAGAATTGCTATGTTTCCGGTAGCTGCCAGAGCAGAATTCACAGGTGTTTACATATTCGCAAGATGCGGAACAGAACCGACACTTCAAATGATCATATAAACAATATTTAATTTAAAACAAATAGCAGTTTTTCCAAAAGTCGTGGGCTTATGATAGACCACACAAGATTTAATTTACGCCTGTTATCCTTATTTGAAGTTCAAAAATGTGAGACAGACGTTGAACTGAACAAAACAAAAACTTGATGTTGGAAAAAGCTGAAAAGGAACACGAGAAATCAGTGTGCGAAGTTGAAGAGAATGCGCGTGTTCCAGCGACAGAAACATAATTTTCTTCGGGACAGAATGAATAAAAACTTTGGTTTGAAAAACCATACCTATGCAAGAAAGTTCGTACACACTGATCAAATAGCCGAGTTGGATAGGGCTAGCCATCGGTTTCAGTTTCACTTGCCCTTCTTCTGACAATTATACTTACATGTATATACAGTCGTGGACCTGTATATGAGTTTGTATGCATTTCATTTAGGACAGATAATCTCAACTGTTTTAGGGTAAGTTGACCGTCATGGTCAACATGGTAACGCTGCCCGAACCCCAATCCAGGGCGAAACGTCCGAAACTGACCACATCCAAAACGACGCTTTCGCCATACTGCTATCTACAAAACCATAAGAGCTTTGGCTATTCTGAGGTGCTTATATGGTTCAGAGATGGTACTTTTGGGGATGATCATTGGTAAGTGTGAAATGCCTAGCACTAATATTTCACAAGAAAATGGCCATGCAATAATCATAGTTAAACGTCAATTTGTGGCTTGCAAATTCAGATAAACAGCAGTGGACTTACATTACTTTTTTCCTTAAATCTTTTTGATAGAAACATAAATGGTACTTATTTAAATATATTATCATTTGTTTGGTGTAAAATAGTTAATATTTTCTGACCGAAATAATAATTCGAAATGTGCCTACCTCCTGCAAATGGACGCATTTGGCCAAGTTCTCCACTTTACTCCGCTGTTTATCGGCGATCTTGTCGACATCCTACAAAAAATGTAAATCATCTCAGACATAATGGTATCAAGAACATTTTAAACAAGTTTCAACTTGGTTTCAAGTAGATCATACCTGTTTAATTAACCATCGACAAGGTAAATCCACAACTTTGTCCAAATTCGGCGCCATTTTGTCATCCCATGTCGCTTGTTAGCAATTCAGCCTTGTTACTCTTCCATCCAAGCCATTTCCATTCCACTAATAATAAATTTAACCCTTTATAACAGGAGGAAACTAAAAAATCTAAACAAAATATTAGAAATACGCCATTTTATCACCCTGTAAAATGTTGAGTACGAGTCCTTCGAAACATTTTGTACAAATCTCGTGTGGTTTAGCAACAGGGACGTGACAGGGGGCTAGAGACTTTAAAAATGAAAGGACAGCCCACATAGTATGGTAAAACCAACAATCAACATTTAATTTGTATGACTTTTTCATATTAATAAATAATAATATGTATATATTTGTCGCTACAAGAAATAAAACAAACATTTGTATGATTGTATTTAGCTTTTAGTCTATTTCACGCAGCCTTCTTCTATCTTCGTGAAATAATTCACCCCCCTCCTGTCACGTCCCTGTTACTTTGTCACGCGATATTTGTACGGAATGTTTTGAAAGACTCGTGAGCAAAATTTTACATGGTGATAAAATGGCGTATTTCCTATATTTTGTTTAGATTTTTTAGTTTCCTCCTATTATAAAGGGTTAAATTTATTATTAGTGGAATGAAAATGGCTTGGTTTGGTAGATAGCAGTATGGCGAAAGCGTCGTTTTTGGGTGTGGTCAGTTTTGGACGTTTCGCCCCGGATTGGAGTTAGCAGCGTTACCATGTTGACCGTCATGGTCAACTTAGTACCCTAAAACAGTTGAGATTATCTGTCCTAAATGAAATGCATACAAACTCATATACAGGTCCTAGACTAATAGATAATTCGTGAAATCTGTCTTATTTCCAAAATTCAAACCTTTCCTCAGTAGACAAGGCAGTTAATACATTGCCTCTTCTTTTATTCTTATCCTTGGATTATCCCTGTAATTCAACATCTTGTTATTCAAAAGCTTTGTGATTTTATATGCTACTTCATTAGCTATTAAGATACCTAAA